AATGGCTAAATAATATTCCATTTATATATATGACATTTTCTTTATCCATTCATCCACTGATGGTCACTTAGGTTGCATCCATATCTTGGCTATTATAAATAATGCTGCAGTGAACATGGGGTGCAGATACCTTTTTGAAATAGTGTTTTTGTTTTCTTTGGATAAATACCCAGATATTAAATTGCTGAATCATATGGTTGTTCTTTATATAATTGTTAGAGAAACCGCCATTCTGTTTCCCATAGGGGCTGCACCCTTATGGGAATTTACATTCCACCAACAGTACATGAGGGTTCTTTCCCTTTCTCTACATCCTTGCCAACACTTGCTTTTTCTACTCTCTTTCAAATCACCTTTTTATTGGGGTTGATATAGCCAGGAAAGTACAGAAGCCACAAAAATGCAGCCAGATGGATTTTTACAAAGTGAACATATCTATGTAAACCACTTCTTACATCAAGTGATCAAAATATCACCAACACAGCATAAACCATCCTAACCCCTTCCCAGACACTACACCACCCACGTCCCCAAATGTAATAACTACTATCCTGACTTCTAATAGCATAAATATATATTACCCATTTTTGAACCTTATGTAGATGAAATCATACAGTATCTTTTAGACCAGGCTTCTTTCACTCAATGTTATGATTATAAGATTTGTTCATGCCATAGCCCTAGTGTGTTAATTTTCATCACTGCATTGTGCCCATTTATTGACATATCACAGTTTAATTATTCATTTTACCGTGGATGGATGTTTGAGCCATTTCCAGCATGAGGTGATTATAAATAGTGCTGAAATGAAAATGTTGTACCTATCTTTTAGTGCATATGTGTATACATTTCTGTGGGTTGTGTGTTCCTAGAATGCCTGGATCATGGGATATGCATATACTCAGCTTCAGTAGATACTGCCAAGCAGTTTCCCAAAGTGGTGCTAATTTGCATGAGGATTCCACTTTCTCCACAACCTCTCCATAATGTACATAATGGACTCACTATGTCCAGGGAGTCACAAAATAGATGGTGGAATTTTTGGAATTTTCTTTTTTAGCTAAGAAAAAAAAGGAAGAATTTAAGTTTAGAACCACGGAAGCAGTCTCCATTCTGTCCAAATGAAATCATAAGGAAAAGAGGGTGTAAATCTACAAAAAGTAAGTAAGTAAATATAGAGAGGTTTGGAAAAACAAATACATGTACAATAGTTTGTTTTTTAATTCTTTTAAGTTCTTTGACACTCTATGGAACATGCAAAAGACCACAATAACCTCAAGAACCTACATCTAAACACTTCCAGTTGATTTCTTGTTTGGTTTCTTTAGTGAGGTTCTTAGGAAAAGTAAAAGCTGGGTAATAACATTTAGCAGCTAGAATTTTCTGCACCTTGCTGTGTTTCACCCAGAAGCCTTTTTAAGGTCTTAAGTTTTTAAGTCTTTTTAAGTTCCCTTGGCAGGTCAAGTCACAAGACATGAAAGTCCTCAAGCAACAGCTTTCTTGTCTTTTGCCTGGAGACAAACTTTCTTAGTGTGATTAAAATTAATCCACATTTCTGCAGCCCTCCCAGATTTATGTAACACCTAAACTTATTTACTTAATCTGGCAGTCAGATTCAGTTGCTTTTGCCCGACCAAAAGCTTTTTCCTCTAGCTAAAAGTGCATGATCCAACTAGTAAACAGGGAGCTGGTTGTTTTCTTTCACTGTGAAGAGGACACTGCTTAAAGCAAGTTACATTTGAAGAAAAAAAATAAGCCATTCTGTAAAGTTATGAGGGCTGGTTTAAAGAGTGGCATTGTTCATTCGTGAAGGTATTTTGTGTAGGGGAGAATAACTTGTGTTATTTAGTAAAAAGCAAAGTAGCTAGTCTTATTTGGAGCAACCAAAGCATTGCAATCATCTGCCTAAAAATCGTATTTGTAATTCCTTGACAAATAAAACATCAATGAATCAAGTAAAAATCAAACAATTAAAAAGATTTCATGGACTGTAAATGACACATATGATGTAGGTAGTTTTAGCTTGTGTCTCAAGACTTCTGCTCTCAGCCATGATGAGAATAGAAGACCAAAGAAGTAGTAGTTATCTTTATATTTTGAGCTTTTGAGGGAATTAAAGTTTCTTTTATACACATGTTTATATTTTTCAAATTTTCTATGATGAATATTCATTACTTTACAATCAGGCAACAAGTAAAATTTATTTTTAAAATAAAATAATTCCCCAAATTACATATAGTTAAAAGATGGTAAGGAAAAACACAATGTTCGTTGCCTTGGACTGGGGAATTTTGAGCAATCTTGTTTCTGTGTTTACCTTTCTCTAATTTCTAGATCTGTGTGTGTATGTGTGTGTGCATACAAGTAACTGTGTAACTTTTATCATAGGAAAAATAATAAATGGTATTTTTCAAAATCTGCTTGTGGAATATGACTCCCATTTTTAGCCTTTGTAGATGATGGCCAGAATTCTCCAGACACAGTTTAGTGGGTCCAAATGAGCCCACCTGGGTTCTGATTCTGGCTCTGACACTCTTGCTGTGTGATACTGGGTAAGTTACTTATCCTCTCTGAACTTCAGTGTTCTCATCTGTAAAGTGTGAATAACAACACCCATATTATGGGATTGTTATCATGGTTTAACAAGATGTTTATGTAAAATACCATGGTACAAATGCTCTACAAATGGTAGTTGATTATTCAAAGTACAGCATTCTCTTCTTAAGGTTTTCTAGGGATCAAAGTACTTTAGAGGTCTTGTCTACTCAATTCTCCCTATGAAATCTGCAGGATGTAATATGAATATCTCCCCTTTTACTAATTTTAAAACAAACAGAGGACAGAATTTTTGAAATAATGTATGATACTTGTGGTCTATTTAGAAAAATAAGCGTATCTTCTAATCTGAGATACTATGTGTCTTTGTTTTTTTTTTAAATTTATTATTGGAATATAGTCGACATACAATGAATGCCACATCAATTTGGGGTGCACAACATAGTGATTCTATACATTAGCTTTGGTTCTTGAGCATATCTCCATCAAGTTCAAATAGGAGGTGTGAAAACATTAGTTTTTCATCATTTTAAATGTTGTATAAATCTACAAATAAAATAAAAGCTATTGATAGGATTACTTAGAGATCACAGGTTTTTCTTTAATCATCAGAATACATTTATCCAAGTACTGGGCAACTGAGTGTGTATGTGAGTGTGTGTGTTTAATGTGCAAAACTGAGACAAACCATCTACTCTCCAAAAGATAAGTTGAATCCCAAATGCAGTGCTTTACTTCTTTTTTTGCTGACTCTGTCGAGTAACAAGCAGAAAAAAAGAAAAAGAAGAAGAAAATGTCAGCTTGGATCTACTTACAACTTATGAGCCAATATAAGTTTAAAAAAATTATCAGTCTCGAAGGTTGCCATTTGGGGTTAAAAACAAAACCTTTCATGGATAAGATAGTTGGGTTGTGGGATGAAGTGTGACAATGCAACAGAACACATCTAACTGACTCACACAACAGCGAAATATGGTCAATTTAGCCTCATTAGGCCACTGTTCTGACTAGTGAGAAAAAAAATTACTTATATTTTTGTTCCACAAAATTTGTACTTTAAAGTGAATGGTTGAGACTCTGGTGTAGGGAGGAAAGCTGTACACAAAGAAGAAGGTAAAGATTTTCTGTGTTTCCTGTGCTATCAGTGTATGACTCCTTGACAGTATTTGATTTTTTTATTCCAGTGAATATATTTATTTTTTATTTTTTTAAGATTTTTTATATATTTATTTGAGAGAGAGTGTAAGAGAGAGCACAAGCAGGGGGTAGGGGCAGAGGGAGAAGGGGAAGCAGGCTCCCCACTGAGCAAGGAGCCCAATGTGGGACTCGATCTCAGGACCTTGGGATCATGACCTGAGCTGAAGGCAGACGCCCAACCTACTGAGCCACCCAGGCACCCCTCCAGTGAATATATTTAAATAGCAATGAGTACTAGAAGCAAATTATATTACATTCCCCATCACTGACAATCAGAACTTGCTTTTAATTGGCATTTATTTTCAGAATTTTAAAGCTGGAAGAAACCTGACAGACTATCCCACGTAGTCCAACATAAATTCCGTGTGTGTGTGTGTGTGGTCAAAATAAAACCATAAATGGTGTGTTTGAGGGTATGGATGAAGAAGAGAGTAGTGAGGGGTAGATGTGGTGTTTGCTTTTTTTTAAAAAAGGGGATTGAGAGAATAAAGTGGTTTACTCTAAAGTAATGTGCCTTCACTAATAGATTTTAAAATCCTAGGCAACTGCATTATGTCAAATTGTAGAATTGTAATAATCAAATTCATAAATATGACAGGTTTCATCTTGATTTCTTCCCCTGGGATTTACAGATTAGTCCTCAGATTTATTAGTCCTCCCTGGGGAGAATTTCTCATCAAATGTTCAGTCTTTTGGACTTTCAGGTTGCTTTTGCTTTTCAGTGGAAGAGAATTACAGAAAGGGGTCTCTATAGATGACTCTATCTAATCAATACCTCTTTAGTTTCAGACAGAATTTTATATGCATTTGGGCCATACTCATTATGCTGATATCCTTGGACTCACCAAATCCAGAACTGTATCTGGGGGTCCTTAGAAATACTGGACCTTTCCTTTCTCCCTGATTTCTACCCTTAGACCTCACAAACACACCAGAAGTTTATTGTGTTAACTTGTATCTCTGCTATAACAACATTGAAAATGTTACAATTTGCTATCTGATTCAGATACCTATGTTACAATTAGAGTCTCTTTGTTGTCAGTGATGACTTAAAAAAAAAATCAGTGCTATAGGATTTCAGAAGCCACAACTAAGAGAAGACAGCAATACAGTGTTTTTATAACTCCTCTATCTTTTAAAAAAATGGGATGGGGGTGGAGAGGAGACACTATCATGCTCAATTTCATTCTTCTGTAATGTAATAATAGTTGATGTTCAAGAAAAAAAATGACCTCTAAATGTTCTACATCATTAAAGATTGAATTCTGCTTTATTTTCTATGGCTGCCTTGTTAAGAGAGCATTTTGATACATTGTAATTTATACATTGGCCATATATACATCTGTTAACTCTTTTCAGAATACCATGTTAATTAGGACATCTGTAACCATACACAATTCCTTTACTGTTTCAAGAGCCAGGCTATAATTTCAGATCTTGTCTTGTTTCTGTGTATATAATGGCAAAAGTCATGAATTTGGGGCTCAACTGACTAGGAGTCAAGCCATACCCCATTACTTACTGGCTCAGTGAGACTGGCAAGTCATCTGTTTGATCTCTAAGGCTCAGCTGTCACATCTGTAAAATGAAGAGGATATTCCCCGTCTCATGGGATTCATTGTAACAATCAAATAAAATAAAGTGTTCCACATCATGCCCTGGCACATGACATAAATGCACAATAAATATTAGCCACTATGAGGTTACTCATCACCTTTTCTAAAATGAAGATATAATACCTACCTCCCATACCTTGTCTGAGATTTTAAAACTAGCTTAACATTACTAAGCATACATAACAACAATGGAACTTTCAAAAACATCACATTATGAATACTGTTACTTTTTTACCTCAGGATAGAATCAGGATTCACCATTTCCCCTCATGGTTTGGAAGAGATGGTATCACTCATTACCAATAGAAATCAAGGTTTATTTACTCCCTAAGGGGAGGGCCGGTTTTGGCTTCAGTGTTTAGAGCTCTCTTCTTGCAACAAAAATTTCTAACTTCTAATTATCCTTTTTCCCATTTGAATGCATAAAATTAGATTGAATAGGAAAAAAAACATCTCCCTTTCCCTTGTCCAAGCTGTGAATTTAAAATACCTGTTTTTCTTCTGCGCCTCTGTCACTTTCATCTATAGCTCCTAGAATAATTTTGACATTTTGTGAATAAATTTACACTAGACTCCACATGTTTCTCAGGTCTTTGGTTAGGGCAGATCATTGTCTTCTAATTCCATACCAATTCTTCTGAGGATCCAGACTGACTAAAAACAATCTCTGCGAGGCCTTTGGGAGACTGACAGCTGGGTAGCCAACTTCTCATGAAATTGTCCAAATTGGTTTCCCTCTGAGTGGTGACTTACTGCAGAGACAGAAGTGTCCTTGTTAAATAATCCTTTGTTCAAACTGTCTGTTTGTCATGTCCTACTTCTCCCCAAATACCATCTTCCTCCGATTTGAGGCTCATAATAAGAACATCGTCTCTTTAATTTCTTTCCTAAATCCTTTATGGAAGGTGAACCTCACAGATGCAAGATGTGGTCTCTTCTGGAGACAGAGGATAATCGCCAACTAGGTCCAAAATAAAAGCAAGGTGATGTCTCAGGCTCCCTTTTGCAAATTCCCAGTTGAAGGAAGATGGACTGTGATCTCTCCAGAGATAAGATTCTTGAAGTCGTTTATTTCTTAGCTCTGGATCCAAAGCAGGAATCATGCCTGTTCCGGTTAAGGGGGACTGAAGCTGCTGTACCACAGTGTGCATTCAGCATCATTCCAGGAAACTTTAGGGCAGAATCTGAGGGGGAAAAGAAGTACACAACCGAAAGTTTGAGTGTGTTTCAGGTAATGAGTGGAACCTCCCCACCCACATGTAGTCCCCCTCCAGGAAAGGCCATTTCCTCTTCCAGGAAACAAAGGTGTGGAGAACTTCTGAGCAGCAGCTGTGTTTATAAAACAATGAGATAATGTCTGATATAAAACAGAAATACCTTGTAGCCTGGGGAAGGAGGAGGCTAGCCACACAAGACGCTGGGATCAAAAAGATCTACCACTATCCCTGACACCTAGCATGTAACAAGAACAGATCTGGATTTTTTTTCTTTTAGGTGGGATTCAAGACAAATAAACAAACACCCACAAAAAGCAAAAACCTCTTCCTAGACATAAAAGATTCAGTCTTTAGATTAATGGGGTTCCAATTGTAAGACTACGTGGTTACAGAATAGTAGAGTGGCATGGGGCCCCAGAGACCAGTTGTCCAAAGGAAAGCCCAGCAGAAAACAGAGGAATTGGCTGCAGAATGGAGACAATATTCAACGGTGCTTCAGGGGGCTGCTTCACATGGGCCTGAGCTTGAATCCTGGTTCCGGTACTTTATTCATCACATTGCTTGGTATACACATTCTCAGGACATGATCATCATTATTTGGAACTTCTTTAAAGCCACTGACTATAGACTACATTAAAAGGACATATGGATTCCCCTTGAACTTCTATAGGTCCGTAACCTGTTTCTCGAATGGTCAATGAAAACCCCAGCAGGGGGACCGGTGGGTTCACTATCTTTTGGGCATTGCAGCATTGGCAGTTGGCCATCTCTTCTTGATGTAATAGGCTCCATTTAAGGAAGGCTGGAGAAGAACCAAGAGGAAGGCATTTTGAACTAGGAGGTTTCTCTTTTGCAGTCTGGAAAGAGAAGGTGGACTTCTCAGTGGGGCTAATTCTGCCCCAGCTCTGCCACCTTGTTCCCAGCCATACCTACCTTTTGCCACCAAATTTTGATAGCAAGTATACAGCAAGTGTCTACTATGTGCCAGGCTCTCATGATGCCATGGTGAGCAGCACATCTGAGGTTCCGTCCATCCTCCTACCTCCTGGCTAGAATTTCCAAGAGGTGGCAGCCTTTGTGCTGGTTGATTGTGCCTGAGGGTCAATTCAGTGCTGTTAGATGTTAACAAGTGTAGGAGAGGGGCTAGTTTTCAGGGATTACATGTTTATCCTTAAAAGGTGTATGTGTTTGTTTTGCTAAATTCATATAGCTTAGGGGTAAGAGTCACCATATCTGGTTTCCCAGCACAGCTTGCCACAAAGTAGCAGTGTAAATTGCTCAAGTCACCAAAACCCTCTGGGTCTACATTTTTCATCTGTAGATTGAAAGTTTGGAATTAGCTGTAGTAAGAGGTCCTTTTCAGCGGACACTCTATACATCCATGATCAGAAAAGCCTACTAAGCCAAGGTTTTGCTCTTTTATACCTTTTAAATCTTTCTCTCTCAAAAAAGAAATTATTTCGCAGACTTATCTGGTCTTAGCACATGATAGTCGCAAATGTACTGAACCAAGTACATTTTAATCATGTGTGTCATCATTGAGAGAATAGCTCTGTAATAATATCGGTAACCAGACATACAGTTTTCTAACCTGAATGAAAAATTAACTCTATGGAGTATAGGAAAAACCACCCCGATTATCCTCATCATGATAACCAATTATCCTCATCATGATTACCATTAGCATCACCAACAAGGTGTACAAGTCTTCAAATGACAAATGCACTCTGAGGACATTACGTTGCAGTTTCAAGGGCTGTCAAATTTAAAGCAATGCAACTTTGGAAATTATACATAAGACCCACAGTGTGCAAAAACGGAAAAAAAATAAAATCGTAGGTAGGGCTCAACCTAGAAAAGATGATCCACCCAACCCTCCTCGCGTAGGTCACTTTAAAAGAAAACTTCAGAACAATGTTGATGAGCCCTTTCTAGCGTAAAAACAAGACAAAACCGACGAAGTTCTTTTTACCGAATGCCCTTGATCCTCCCCTTTGGAAGGATCGTTTTCGATTTTCAGTTTAGTGAGGCGCAGAATCCCCGCGCGCTCGGCCCGCGACTGGTGCTCGGCGCCCCTTCCGGCGACCTTCCGCCTCCCGGCGGCGGGGGCGCGCGGCGGGTCCTCCCCGGGGTCAAGCGGCAGCCGGGCGAGCAGC